ATCCTTTTTTGGTCCACTTAAGCAGTAATGGTGTCTCAGACCTCTTTGTGTTCAGACTGTTGCTTTTTGGATCTAGTCCAGTTCAGTGTTTGATAGCTGACATTATGGCCTCTAAAACTGGAATATTTGTATATTTTGCACAAAAATATAAGTTTCGTACAGCTTTGTAATATTTATTTTGAATTGTTTTCCTTGTCTATGTAATCATGTTTATTTTATAGCACAGAATTTCTGCAGGATTTTTAAGCTCAAATTTAAGACTAAGACCTGCACATATAAAATTGATTGGGGCATTGTTTTAAAATGACTGTAAAAGCATGATTTACAGTTCAGATACGTTTTCACAAAAAAAAAAAAGAAAAAAAAAAAAAAAAAAAAATGTTTAGTTTTTTTTTTTGGACAATGTCTGTGATTCATCACACAAAGAATATTATGTACTTCTGATTAATGCTACTGCTGCTGCTCCATGGTTTCTGTGCTGCATGTATTCAGTGTGCTGGACGTCAACATCTGCATTATGCCATCCTGTCAGCTTCAAGACAAGAAGCAACCTGGGATGGAGAGAATTAGCCTTTACGCTGTTCTGACTAGAGCCGGAGCGCTGGGACTGAGAGAAACCCACTCAACAGCACATTTGATCACAGATGGCCACGGGAGCTTTGAGCCGTCACTCAGAAAGAGCTCCCAGAGACACTTCACTCGCTTCAGACGAATCCAGCTCTCAGGAGCGCTGTGATGCTTGTCGAGGTCACGCTTGTGTCATTCCAGCAAATGGATGGAGAAAGACAACGTTCCCTTCACTTCCATAGGGACGAATGAACAGGCGGAAAGTTTCACTTCCTGTCTGCAGTTGCACAAGTAATCTAACAGTACAGCATTTACCAAGTAATGTAAGACCGCAGTCTTCCTGGACAGAGTTTCCATTACTAGAGAAAATCATATTATTTGGACGCCTCGGTTCTCTCAGTTCTAGATACTGTAACAATGTACATAAACGGAGCTGCCAGTACATGCACATCTGACAATCAAATAAACAAAGAAATATAGCAGATTAATTATACTATATTCATTTGAAATTATATAATAATAATACTACGATTAAAACAAAGCATAATATATTCAGATTAATGTAATAGTAATAATAAATTGCACACACACACATATATACAGTATATATATATATATATATA